TGATTAAACGACTGAAAAATGTTCCAAAAGGTAGAAGAAAACGTGTCATAAAGGCATATGAAAACATGTCATACAGATATACTTATTAAAAATTAAAAAATAAAATAAAATGACAATAAAGAATACCGACGAACGATCGACAACCAACAACCCAAGGATTAATAAATTAATTGAAAATTTTAAGATAACACAAAATTCTAAAACAAAAATTAATTAGATTAAGATTAATTTGATTTAACACTAGCTTGTCCAATTGAAAGACAAAAGAGAGTGCCAACAAGTGTTGGTACAAGTGATTGTGATTCAAAAATTTGAGTTTGTAAGATTAAGTCAAAATCCTACCACCGTCATTTTTAGTGAACAATCTATAAATTCCGAAGTTAAATCTCAATTGGGATTTAAGTATGCCCCAACCCTGGACTAGAGAAGCCACCCTTGACCTAAACTTTATGTGACAAAAAAAAAAAACAAAAGAGAGCCAGATCTTCTTCTTACCAGTTTAATTAACTCATTAATATTTGATTAAAAGTCAAGTGTATATATTTGATATTTGATTATAAGAAATGACCATCCAGCTCAGTTGGTAGAGCATAAGGTTCTAATCCTTGAGGTCGTGGGATTGAGTCCCATAAAGGGCATTTCATAATTTGAAGGTCTCCTACGGAAGCTGCTCTCAACCTAGTGTTGGGGGCAGCCTAATATCTTACCTCCCCCTTACCCCATTACATATGGGAACAAGGGACAGCCATTTCAATCTTTTATTTTGAATAATAATAATAATTTGGCTTAAAATAAGCTCTATCCAATCCCAATAACATTCTCAAGATTCCACGACAAAATCAAAATATTTACATGCAAAAATACTAAGAATCTCAGTTGTTTTTAGCTAATCATGAACTGTCTCCTCTGATATTAATCAAAATTTTAATAATATGATGATAACAACTATATCTTATAGAGTTGAAAGTCGGTTAATTAAGTTATGAAAGAATCTCTGAAAACCGACATTGCTGATTTGTCGGCGTCTGAGATTATTATATAATATTTTTAATATAATTTGTTTTTTAATAATTCTTTAATTTGAGTTCAATTGCATGTTTGTAGCTTACTTAATAGTTTGACTGATATTAAATATTATTTTAATTCTAATTATAAACAAAAAGGGGCATGGCAATTTGCCACGTGTATGAGCATGGAGAATCACATTATTTTAATTAATTGAATTCTTATTGTTTCAGTGCATTTAAGTGAGTGTTGTTGCAGTGAACCTAATGGGAAGACAGTTCAAGAACAACCCTGGTCGGTGAACAATACATTCAGGTATCTGCTGGAATTTTTAGTTAAGGTTCATGTAAATGATAATTTTAAAATGTCAAAATAAAAATAATTTTTAATTTTTAATTTTTGTAACCCCTAAATTTTGCCTGACATTACGACCGAATCATGAATATTACAGTAATTTTAACCATCCGAAATCATGAAATTTTCAAGACCATCGACAAATGACAAATTCCAAACCAGTTTCAAATTGTAACAGACGGTAGTAAAATATCGATGTAAATCCACATTCAAATTTAAGAATTTACGAAAATAACACCATCAAGATTAAAGTCTAAAACAAGTAAAAATATAATATCCTATTATCTCAATAAAAACATAAATAAAAAGAATTAACGAAAGAAAGTAAAATATAGAGTTTGAAAATGTTTGTAGGATAACTAGGAAAACTTGCTACTAGTCGATCCTCAAGTGCCAGTCAGAATCCTAAAGGTCGGAGGGATATAAAAAGACAAAAAGTAGAAAGTGAACTCTAGGGCTCAGTGTGCCCTCTAAGTGCAATAGGTATAGATAACAAATCGTAAATAATTCAAACATGTCATAAAAATGCAAATTAAAGCTCATGTAGTATGATATGGGAGAGGTGGAGGGTTAATGAACGTTGCTCTTGTTGAAGAATCAAACCTAGAAAGCTCTCGACCCGATGAAGAACAAAGGGGATGAATAGTAGAAGGTGACTCCCTTGTGAATGTGGATGGTAAAGATGATGATGTATTTTTGGAAAATAGATTGATAAGTGTCCTATCGAACCCTCCTAGTCGCAATGAAAAGGCAAACTCGATAATATGGCTCTAACCAACCCTCCTAGTCCCGATGAAAAGGCAAATTGGAGTGTGAAGATTAATCTCCCTCACAAGAACTTGAAAGAACTCCAGGAGAAGAAGCTTCGAAGGCACAAGGCAATCAACACTTACAAAAACGAATTCTCGTTGTATTATTAATCAAAGAAATATGTTTTACAGAGTTGAATGAAACCTCCTTTATATAGGGGTTGGTTCTAAAGGTCCTAAATAGCTAATGAATAAAATAATAACAAACTAAACATGTCTTAACTCTAATTCCGAATAAAATAATAATAACTAAAAATAATGTTTTAACTCAACCTTAATTCCTAATAAAATAATAAATCTAATCCTAAAAGATAATGCATCATCCTATATTAAATGATATTACAAATAATCAATTTAAATATTGAAAATTCGTAATATTTACAATATCACGTATTAATCTCGTATAGGAATTTTTGCATGCGTTGTCTTCACTAAAATGAACGTATCTTGAGTTCTCGATATCGGATTGATACGATTCAAGAACCGTTGGAAAGATAAGAGACAGAAGGTTGTATGTCCAGAAGACATGTTGACCAAATAAGATTAGGATCCCATTCAAAAAGTCATCGCAAGTCTGTTTCTGTTCTAGTCTTCTTTTCCAAGGCTTAGATGAGTGGATCATTTGGAAGAGTTATTACTTCTTCCTTTGATGTGAGCCTTGTGATGCATGTATCATAGTAGAAAACCAATTAACCATTATCGAAACATTATAACAGAAACTTCACACAAGTTTACCTTTCGTCGCGGATAATACATGATGTGGACGTTATCCTCTGAATAGGTACCCAAATCAGAATTACAAAAATCAGGTTGAGGATACAGTCTTCCATAGAGGATTTCAATCAGAAACATAAATAATATCAACTAAGCCTTATGCCTCCCACGATCAGTAGTATTAGGTCCTACGGAATGGACCTAAAAATAACACACTACTATATGAGTACTGAAGCAATGTATCTAAATGGACATAGACTATTAATTCACCCCGCCATTGAGAGTACAAAGTAGGCTTCTTTCTTTCCATAATCGGATATGACGATGTAAACAATGCTCACGCGTATCTTGAGTCAAACATGCAGAATTGAACTAAATTGAACGGGGTGATCATTACTTTTCGAAGAGTGATGCGGAAACACGTGTCCACCTTCAAAACATAATATAAAAAAGTGAGTTCAAAATCCCATAATTTACTTAAAGTAATTATAACTTAAAGTGATAAATGACGAAAATGGGACTTTCGGGTAAGAATTGACCAAGCAGACTGCAAAAACAAACTTAAGACATCGAAAAACATAAAATTAGACGCCAATAGAAAAAAAATCAACAAAAAAGTTAATGGTCAATGGTCTGATTTAGTCACCGATTCGATTCAGTCAATGATTTGACTCAATCAACGGTCTAGACCGAATCAGATGGATCGTTTCAAGGCCGGTTCAACTCCTAAATTGGTTTGATCGGTTTTGCAGGAAAAAGATTTCCCCACTCACAGTGACAGAGCGTGCGACGACCTCCGATGGCCAAAATCAAACCATTTTTCTAGATTTATAATTTAAAACATGGGGAGTCTCTTACAGATGTTGGTTTGCAGCGGATGACGGCGAAGATGAGATTTTTGGAAAAACTCGAATCGTTGCACCTCCACAAAACGCTAACGATGGCAACGACGTTGAAGACAAGTACACCAACTGAACGAGGGAGACGAAACACACGGTGTCAACGGTGATACCCACAACGAACGGAGCGACGACGAATCGAAAAAAAAAACAAAAATTGGGAACAAAAATAGAAGAAAAGAATGGCTGGGGGAGGAGTTTTGCACAAACAAGAGAAAAAGAAAAGAAAGGAAGTTTGGGTTTTAACTTAGGTTTTTGTGTTAATTATGCCATTAGTCTTTACACTTTCGAAAACTCGCAAAAGGAAATAAAAACTTTAAAAGCACCATGAATTAGTCCCAACTTTAGAGGTGTGACAAATTTAGTGAGTATTTTCAATAATGAAGGAAATTTCATTTTCTATTAAATAATTTAAATTTTGGTAGTCTTATTTATAGAATATCTATAAATTTCGTTAAAGTCTACAAGTAAAGAGAGCTTGATCAACCCATCATGTGGACCTTGTAACCATTCAAGGAAGTCCTTTTAGTAGTACCAATGTACCACTAGAAAGTATCATACTAGTCAATTGTGTTGATAGACCACAATTGAGGATGATCGTTTTCTTTAAAATTTTAAATTTTTTATATATTTCGAATATTATTTTTTTATGTTTTCTATTAAGTTTTGACTCTTAAAATTTTTAATTTTTTTTTAAAAATATTATAAATTCGTCTATAATATAAAATTTTACATTTATCTCTAATTCTATAAATGTTCTGTCCGGTATATATTAACATAAATTCAACTAATTAGTATGCGAACAGGTCTGTTCATAAATTAAATGGTCCATTAGATTATATCAGATCAATTCAATTCGAAAGAGATTTGAATAGAAAAATGTTACCGTAGCTGATTTTTACTTTATTTAGGAGTTTAATCGAACTTGACTTCGAATATAACTAAAAATTATGTGATTATTAATGATAATTTGGTTCGAATTTAATGGGTTTCAACATAATCTAATTGATTTGAGATTTTTTAATTAATTTTGAATCGGGTTAGGTTGGTTTTAGAGTGAAAGATCTTCGATTCAACCTGACATGAGATAATAATATTTTTTTTATATATATATTTAGGGATATAATTAATCGAAAATTCGACGCAACTCGACCAGTCACTTATGTTTATGTTTGGCTTTGATGGAATAGATAACTAGGACTTATAATCATGAAAACAATACTTAAATCCAAGATTATTATTTAATTTACTAATAATTAGTATGTCACATATATTAGATAACAATATGATACCCGTTGCCCAACATCACGTCCCAGAATCTGGGACCCACCTTCACTTAAAATACTCATCCAACGGCCAAGAACAGAACACGTGATAAAATGAAAATACATCTACGCCGTCCGTTTTAAACGGTAACATATTGAATGAACTCGTGATCCGACTCAATCCCGGCCATTGTTTCTGGCGCCAAAACCACCTCCAAATCGACGCTACCGTTCCCTTCCCGCCCCGGAAAAGCAGAGATCTTGCCGTCGAATTTGTTTGCTCCGCCGCTCCTAACCGCCAAAGGCCGTCCCCAACCGAAATCGTTGTCGTACATCGGGAATCTCGGGGAACTCCCCATCGTCATCGACGCGCCGTCGAAGTTTCCCAACGGAAAACACCGTGGATCCTTCTCCCAGTTACGGATAAAACGACGCACGGTTTCGTCGTCGTGAGCTTTCACGCTTTCGTTCAACTGCTCGGCGCACCAACGTATGCTTCGCGACGTGACGTCACCGGCGGAGGCGTACGTCGGGATGCTTTGAATTGCATTCCCGAAGTATAAAGGATCCATCTTCGGGTTCAGCCTGTGACGACAATTCACCGCCATTCTAAACTTCGTCGTTTTGGAAGCAGGGAGCTTCCTCGCACGTGTTGCCGCCCGCCAGAGAAGAGCCGAAAGCGACTGAAACGATGAAATCTCCGCCGTTTTTGAAACCGGAGCCATTTCAGTATGGTACTTGTCGTTACTTAGCTTCCCCATGATTTCAACGGCGTTAAAGTCTCCATTAACGTCGCTGTTGTTGTTAACTTTGGCTTTGAGTTCCAAAATGGCTTCTCTGCTGAAACTGAAGATCCTCTCCCTTAACGGCTCGTTTTCGTTGAACGTAACTTTGGGGCCGCCGTCGGGGACTTTTAAAATCGCCGGCGAAATCAAAACCGATTCACGTGAAAAATCCGGTCGCCTTGAGATTTTATCGATCGTCTCATTATTGCTGTTACTCATTTTTCTGCAAATTTCCGCGAAAGTGTTGAAGAAATTCCAGAACGACGTGCCGTCAGTCACCGCATGGTTAACCGAGCATCCGATGAAGACTCCATCGGCCAGCTCGGTGACCTGGACCGCCATGATCGGCCTGTAATGTCCCTGATAACTAACCGTCTTATCAAAAGTAAAAAACTCCTTCACCAGCTCCGGAACATGAACCGGCCCAATGACGTCGCGGATGAACCGGGAGACGCATCGGGCATGGTGGAACTCGACTCCGGCGTCGTTACAAGTTAAGTAAATGTAACCCTTTTCGTCGGTGAGAAGGCGGCCAGCGAGAGGAGGGAAAAACGACAGCGTCTTGGAGAGGGATAGTTTGAGGAGAGAAACGAGTGAGTTGGTGGGAATCGAAGGGCGAGTGAAGAGACAACCTTTCTGGATGTAATGGCAAGACAACATGGGGAGATCAGAAACAGAAAGCTTGAGGTCTCCAAGGCTTGATTTTTGGTCTGGGAAAATCATGGATTTTGAGACCAGAATCGATGGAGAAGAAGGCATCTTTGTGTGTTTTTGTTTGAAATAATTTATGGGTTTTGTTTGTGATCTCCTTCGCTGGTTTTGGATTTGGGATTTGAGAGATATATATAGGGATTTTGGGAATTGTCCGTCCACTCAATTAGTAAGAGCGTAAGGTTTTAATTTTGTGATCGTGTAATAAAATTTTACGGTGAATAATTCATAATTTTAATTGTCAGAGGTCTCTTATGAAAGATATTTTTAATTTAATATTGAAATATTCTATTATCTTATCTTCCCTACTCTTATTACATATAAGAATAGAATTAATTAATTTTTTATATATATAGGGATTTTGGGTGCATGAATACGGCAGATTTGAGTCAACAAAAGGTTTTTTCATAAGGTGAGTTGGCAAGCAAGTTGAGCTTTCAAGTCAAATCTCAATTAATTGCAATAATATTTAAATAAAAATATAAGAATATTATGATACTATTTCTATTTTATCATTTTTATGTTGGTAAATAGGATAGTATTGGATCCGAAATTGATAGATTATGATCCGATATTTTATAGGGTTAGTTTTTATATAAAAAATTAAATCAAGTTGGGTTTGATTTTTTTAAGGATAATGTTTGATAGATTCAAGTTTTTCAAAGAATAAGATCTAGTTGCATGAATTAATCGACGTCAGTGATTAAAGATATTATTGTTATCTTTAGAGGTCACAAGTTTGAGTACAAGCGATTGTAATAGGGTATTTGAACTTTCATTGTCAAATACTTCAAAATCTTTAGAACATATACTATCGTTTGTAATCACCCTAGATTAATACAAAAAAGAATAAGGTCGACTCGTTTCAAGTTTCCTATAGGGTATTTGAGCTTTTATTGTCAAACACTTCAAAATCTTTATAACAGATACTACCGAGTAGATTCAATTTGTCAATTTTTTTTTATAATTTCAGATTTCAAGTCGAATCAAATTTCATATAAATCAAAGTTATATTCAAATCAAATTCGAATAAATCAAAATATGACCCGACTCTTGATCATGCCCAATCGCAGATACATTTAAATCCAAATGCATATCCTATCACAACACTAAACTTCACTATTACAATAATTATTATCTATTTTAATCGATAAATCACCCGTCCTAACACTTACAATCATACTCCACTAATTTTTTTTTTTCAATATTCCATAACCTATATATCCACAAATTTCAAATAGATTCCATATTCCATGGCAAACCAATTTCTTTTCATTCAAAGAAAATTTAAGAATTCCACTAAATAAAACTTGGGTATATTACAAATTTGGTAATTAAACTTTACTCTCTCTCCTATTTCACTCACTTCATTTTAAGTCTTCTCAATTTCCTCACTGAACTTAATTCATTAGGGTTTTTTTGTCATTCAGTCGTTTCCTCACTAACAACGTTATAAATTGACTTTTATATAGATGTAAAACGACGTCGTTTTGGTGAAAATTTTATTCTTTTAAAACGGTGTCGTTTTAATATTGTTAAATATTTAAAGGGGAGTGACTAAGAAAACTTAATGTATTAAGTTTAGTGAGTAAAATATGAGAGAAAGTAAAGTTTAGTGATGAAATTTGTAATTTACCCATAAAAGTTAAAAATGTTGGATTGGTTGTCATCCCTAATCCCAAGCAAAAGTCGGCGAAGAATCTCAACTGTTTCAGCTAATCTTGAACTATCTCGTCAGATTTAGTTTGGTCTTTAATTATCATCCCATTGTTTTATGGTACTAATCCCTTCTACTTACAAAAAATGGTCGGTCCATTAACCCATTTTTTATTTGTCACATGCATGAACTCGGGGGCGTGGCTGGGGTGTTGTGAACTGCGTGACCACGCAGACTTTAAAAAAGGACCTAAAAAAGTATATATATAGTTACGTTTTTTCAATAAACGCCACTATAGATGGATCTATTACGACGTTTTTTTAAAAAACACCATTATTATTGTGCATCCCAAAAAAATGCCCTAAAAATATATATATAGTGGCTTTTTTCAATAAACACCACTATAAATGAACCTATTACGACGTTTTTTCAAAAAAATATTATTACCCCAAAATCAAATATATTTAAAAAAATAAGACACATTTATAAAAATTTATACATGATCCTCGAAAACCTAACCACGTCCCTGCCCGAACTAATTTATATCTATCAGTGTAATTCACTCATTAGCAAATGGTGTACTTATAAGACTTGTGGTTGACAGATGCCACGTGTGTGACAGTTCAAGACCAACCCATGAAGTATTTCACTGGCTTTGATTCACTGGTTTTGAGATATTTAAATAGATTTTGATTAGTTAATTAATTAATTAATCACTATGTCCAAGAGGGTTGGGGGATTAATTAATCGAGTGAGACAGTGAACCTTGGCATCATTAAAATTACCGGCGGATGACAGATCAAGACCAACCATACTCAATCAATTTGCCAAATATTTAGTTCTCTTTTATTTGTTAAAAAGCTCCTTCAAACACGTTTAATTTTAAAAAATTGTATGAACCAAAACCACCTCGATAGTAAAGGAAATATTATCATTTTTTGAGATTTTGGGTTCGAGCATCGAAAATATTAGAAGTATAAACGTTAAATGTTAAATAGTTGAGAGTTATCTTTGAACAAATACTGTCTTGTACTTATCTTAAATTAATAAAATAAAAAAACTTTTAAAAATTGGAACCCATCAAGCAACCTTAATGAAAAATGAGAATGTTGTTCTCCCAAAGGTCATAGATTCCAACTAGGGATGGAAAAAACTCGAACCGACGGGAAAAACCGAAAACCGAATTAAACGGGGATGGGGAAAATTGTTTATGTTAAACGGGGATGGGGAAAAACCATTTATGCTAAACGGGGACGGGGACGGATTTGATAATCCCCGCCCCGATTACTCGATTACCCGACCCGATACCCGACCCGATAAATATTAAAAATAATTATTTATATATATATAATATTAATAAATTTAATTTAAATTAAAAATATATATAATATTTATATATTTAATTTAAATATATATATACCCGGCCCGATACCCGACCCGATACCCGTTTAAATAACCGTTTATGCTAAACAGGAATACTCGTTTCCCCGCGGTTTTCCTCGATTACCCGATGGGGATCCCCGTTTAAATCCCCGCGGTTTTTTAAGCGGGGACGGGTACAAGTTTTTTAAACGGGGACGGAGACGGGGGGACCAATACCCGGCCCGTTGCCATCCCTAATTCCAACAATTACGCCTACAAAATGTATGTATTGTAAATAACTAAAAATTGTTATAACATACACTACCTTATAATCACCTCAGATTATTAAAAAGAAAATATCAAATTGATATTTTTTAATTATAATTTAAAGAAAATAAGAGAAAATATTGGTGACACGAGAATGGAAGGAATAAGAAAATAACAAAAATGATATTATTTTGGTGTCTAAAAACAATAAGAACCAAACCACATCATATTGTTGCATCATCCGTATCACCGTTACCGATTTAACGATCTAATGGTATAACTAAAGCGAAAATTAAAATTTAGTGTTGTAATTGAAGTAATTGAAAGTTTAATAATATTAAACAATACATCACTTAAAATTCAGAACTATCTAATGTAATTTAAGATTTTTTATTAATATAAGACGCTTACAAGTGATGATATCTATTCTAAATACTCTAAATCATTTGATGATTTCCGAAAGTCGTCGAGATTACAAGTGATGATATCTATTCTAAAGACTCTCAAACATTTTTAAGAAACCATCTTTCTGTCACGTTTTATTTTGTATTTTGGCATATTTTTCGGTATTTCGGTCGTTTTTCATTTATCTTTTTTTAAGGGTTGATTTGACATCGCCACAACTGATCAAGATGACGCTTATCTGATATCTTATTGATCTTCTCTGCTTTGGACCCTCATATTGGATTTGGATACCCTATTTACGTTCGTAGATAGCTTTTTACGTCGCTCGAGTCTGATTTGCGGTTTATCGGTGGTCTTTCAACACCCTAATCTCCTCTTGTGGTTTGTTTACCGACGCGATCAATTCTGTTTGTATCTATCTTTGTTTAAGTTTCTTAACTAAATTTTTATTCTTTCCTTGTATAGTTTTTATGTGATCTTAAGTTGCTAGTTTTGTTTTAATGGTTATAAGAAATTATCCTAATTATATACTTAATTTACGATTATAACCGTAAATCTTTGTTTTATTTTTTATGCGATTCCCTTTTTCAAGTGCATTATCCGGACACTTTTGTCCATTATATATTATCGAGTATGACTATGAGCCGGAATTTTAGTGGGTTCCCATTTGTATGACCATCAGCATCATTCAAACAACTAAAACGTTTGTAGAATGCACATTCAAATAAATTCAGTCAATCGTTTAATAATGGCCTTCATTGGAGATACGTACACGTATTTGTATTGATATAATTTCACGACACAATGTGATTTTTTTAGATTTTTATTCCAAGTTTTCATAAGTTCACATCTTCTATCATATTTTTGAAAAAAATGATTATAGCCCTCGTATTATTTTCTCTCTCAATGTGACCCTACAATTCAGAAAATAAACCTAATGTGGTCCTTCGACCGATGTTTTTCGTTGTTTGACCTATACGATGCTGACGTGACAGTTTATGGTACTGAGGCGACAGTCCATCTGTCATGCTTGAGTTACCAATTTAGCACATCTTCCATGTTATCCGCCACCTTATAAACTACCGTGGACCGCCACCACCTTATCAACTACCGTGGACTGCCACATCAACACTGTGGACCGCCACCACGTCAGCATTTGTGAACTGTCATGTCAGCACCGTAAAGGTCAAAGGCGAAAAAGTTGGTCAAATGATCACATTGGACTTATTTTCTGAGTTGAAGAGTCACAATAAGAGAAAAATAATACGATAGTCGCATTAGTTTTTTTTAAAGTACAAAAACCTGCCTTTTTACCTTAATATTTTTTAGTAATAATTGATTATTATGTATTTTACTTTCTCATTTGATTCACTTGTAATATTAAAAAAATATAAA